CAAGCCGCAGACGTCAAAACCCAAGAACGCATCTTGCAAAGCCAGCACTGCGTATCGAAATGGGGGCACAGCAAACGCACAACAACGAATATCCTGACTCAGGCGGCAGATTCCCCAGAGCGCCAGTGCTGTTGGACAACTCAGTTCCTGACAATCTGCATTTGAGACTGTCAATCACATGCACGAACGTCCGGTGGTGGTAAGGGATTCCGCCTTCCGATATCCGTCAGCCTCTCGCATTTTCAAGTAGTCGCCCACTTTCTGCACCTCGCAATGATTTGCGATATGAAAGCCAGCGATGCGCATCACTATTGTGCTGTTGAGCTTTGTGCTGATCATGACTGCCTGGCGTTCCCTTTCCCGTAGTTTCAGAGAGTAGGCGACCAGATCGATAGATCAAAAAGGTGTGTCTGGTGGGCCGAAGCTTGCGCACGCCGAAATCCTCAAACGTCAAAAAACAATGATTCACCTTGCAAGACCAGCTCTACGATGCCAACGATCAACAACGAACTTCTCCAATGCAGTGGTAGATTCACTCGACCCCCAGTCCAGTGGAAGATGTCAGTTATTGAAAACTTGCGTTTGAGACTATCGATCGCAAGTACGAGTGCGCAGCGCTCGTCCACGCCAATTGCTGTCAGTGTCACGTGATTCTAAGTGTTTACTCACTGCCTGCCCCACGCAGTGATTGGCGAGATACAATGACGTCATGCGCATTATTCTTGCGCGTTGATTTTTGTGCTGATCGTTGGCGCCGCGCCCGCTATTTCGTAGTTTCATATGGACAAGATAGATGAATCAAACAAGCGTGTCTAGTAGGCCCATGCGCGCACTTGCCAGAATCCCCAGACTTCAAGCCCCATTGACTCACCTCACAAAGCCAAAACTACACTACGGGATGGACGCTTAACAACGAATATCCTCGATGCAAATTGCGCACATCGACTGCAAAACGCAGAGCCTGCATTGCCATCCACAATTGCTCTTGGTCAATTCGCGAGCAGTGCCATTTTTCAACAAGAAAAAACTTCAATGCGACGCACAAATGGGAAAGCCGTCGAACTCCACGGTGCAGGCACACCAATTCTCGAGTCCATCACAATGACGAAATACGCCTTATGCACGCTCTCTGTTTTAATCCCCTCCTCGCCGTACGCCTGCATGCAACTCGCATCAAACATTCGACTTTTCCGCTCAGACATTCGCACCGGGACAATCGCCTCCATGACATCCTGTACTTGACGGCGCCCCCCACGGGCGACGGGCAAAACCCCAGCGTGCGAGAGAAACCCATTCGGGTAAGTAGGACTTAGAGGAAAACGCACAATGAAAGAGACGTCAGGCTCGTCAGCCTTTGACGTAGATGGCCTCGAATGAGGATCTCTGTTCAAAATCATGTTCGTAATATTCGTGCATGTGCCACTGTCCTAAAGAACACGACCAGTTGGCGGCATCCTTACCGTTCGTGCCCTCGAACGCAATAGTACACGCGGGGATGCCAAATGCGATATATTACCATATCAGCAAGGGGACCTGCCGCACCATGCGTCAACCCCATATCCAAGAAACATGACAAAAGCAGTCCACATTTCCATGGACCTACCGGTACCATAAAGTATACAATATTGTCCTCATGCTTCGCCCATACACATTGTGGAGACGCGTCAGCGGGTTGCGCGACAAACCACACGAGGCAGGAAGGATCGCCCTTTGCTTCACGCTTGTGATGTTGCAGTCCTCCGTTACTTTGTTGACCCTTACCAAGAGCTGCATAATACACTCCGCGAAACGGAACAACTCGGGGCGCTGCCTCCTTCACAATGCTTTTACGAAGCATGCACTACCTGTGCACACTTTGCTGCATCCAGACCAATTTGATACACTACTTCGGGCAAAGCATGAAGGATGCTCAGCACGCAAAATCAACTACGTCTCCTTCAGGACTTACAAGACCCTTGCAGATGGTGCGCAACATGGCACCGTCCACCACACTGCTCCAAAACCTAAGTTAACAATCAAATCGCAGCTGGGATTTCACCAACACAGTGGATGGCCCACTCTCTAGATTTCAATGATTCACGTTCTATCATTAAGTGTTGTGCTTTAGACGTATTGCGGGAACCATACACCGGAGAAAATTGCTGTGGCAATGCAAGTTGCCAGTGTATGCATGCACTGGTATAGCTCAACTACCCTTAAAGTATCGTGCTACTTACACTCTGTGCAGCCACACGAAGCTGGAACACTTTTCCAGCAGGCATTTGGTGTCCGTTGCTTCCCGGAGATCTACAGCACACGTAGAGCCGTTTGATGCAGAGGTCTGAAACAGAACGGCAATCAGAAGGGTGAAAAATTCTCGCGGAACAAGAGTGCTGCAGATGCTAAATTTGGTACTTGTGCAAATATTTACACCACTAAAGAAAAGAGCAATTATTTTGCAATGAACGAAACGGTTCAATCAACAGTGGAGCATCTAGCTACAGGGTACTTCAGCTGTTCTGCACTTTTGCAAGGAATGAAACTGTCCGGGGCCTCTAGCTACACGCCCATTCAGCTGTTCTGCACTTTTGGCGCATTTCGTGCATGCAACACACTTCCTTTGCTCGCGAAAATTTCCAGTGTTAAATATTTTTTACTTTGAATTGGAACGTATGGCTGTAGACTACTTCAGTGGTTTTCCATAGTGGCCCAGTTCATACATGCAACAAGGGGCTCTCACCTGTATTCATGAGCGGATCACTTACTTTCCTCAGTTGAGACGGCTCGCCGCTGCTTCTGCGGCCGTGAGATCCACAGTATTCTTGAATCAAGATTAGAAACCTTGACTACCTTCAAACGCATATGCTGCCAGTCCGAGCGGCGCTTCGTTCATTTCTACTCTCGAGGAATGCTTCATTCCACTGCTTCACATGCTACTATCCACAACACTGATCACCACAGATACTCGGACAGCCGCTTAGCCTTCGATAGCCGGTGTATGGACTTCTTTTTAGATATTAAAGAATCATTAGGCGCACTGCCTGAATATTTTGCAACTGCGCCTGATGCTGGAAGAGCTCACTTTCAGACACAAAGTGAGGATGGCGTGAATGCCTGCATGCAAAACGTTTTTCACGAGCATACGTCATGCAGCGCCACAGACGCACAAACTGCGAGAGCGAAAGAAGTGGGGAGAACAGGCATTTACACTTCACCTATTATTAAGCAGTAAATTAGAAAGTAATTCTGAGTGAAGAAACGAGGGCCTCCTTGGCAAGCAGACGCACTTATCAGGGGTTAACCCACATTTATTTGAAGCTCTTCT